AGTCCGTTCAGTAAAGAACTGTTTTAGGAAAGACCCATATTCCCTTTTTTGAATGATGTCCAATTCGCCCTAGTTTTTTAGTTTAGCATTTGACTTACACTGGGAATAAAATAACCCAGCCAGCTCACGGGATTCCCATCAGTAGGGAACATAAACCAGATAAAACCACTGTCTGCGTCTGCCCTGTTCTCCGCTCGGGGGATAAACTGAGTCTCGGTCACCGCAGCCCCTTATCGACCAGGTGTTCTTCTGAGCTGTACACGTGGCTTTCGGATTTGATGAGTCACCTTAAGGACCCCGAACTCTTCAAAGGGTGAATCCTGCTCTCTGTTTCATCACGATAAAGCAGGACAAGGACATCGTGCCTGTGACGGTGCTCTGCGTCACTTCTGCACCGGGCCGTGGACTGCACCCCGCCCTCGGCCACACCTTTTGTCCCCCAGGTGCACCACACAAGGCACTGGCTTGTCCCCAGGACTTGCGACAGCTTCGCTCTTCATACCTGGCACAGCACCCCTCCGCTGAGCTGCCACCGCCCCGCCGAGGGACCAGGGGACCAAGGGACTGGCTCCGGCTCGCTCAGGCGGCGCCGCTGGCTCCCGCCCCTGCACGTCCAGAGCAGGGAACAGCAGTCACTCAACTCGACACCACCACGCTCAGGCGCTGAGCCCGGGCCCAGTCTCGCTGGCTTCATCCATCTACTGCCACACACGCCTCTGTCTCCAGAGTCCCTCACAGGCAGAAACCAAGTTCGCCTTCCCGCCACGAAGGCTGCCTGGCACAAAGCACAGGCTGACTTAGGGACAAATATTTACTAAGTAAATGACTGTCAGCGGAAGAGGCTTTGCCGACAGGCTGCACTCCCGCGGCCCCGGTGGGCTCGGGGCGGAATCGGTGGAGGAGCAGAGTGTGGTGGGGACGACTCAGACCCAGGAGAAGGTGACCACCCGCTGGGCCCCGAGCAGCATCCCGTCAGCCCCCAAGACGAGAGGGGACTCTGGCGACAACCCCCGCCCCGTCAGGGTGACGCGGGAGACCAAACGCTGTGCCTGAAAGCAGGCTCGGCCCGAGGCCTGACCTGGACCCGGCTCCCGGGAGAACCCAGGGAGCCCGGCACCGCCCAGCAGGAGGGGCGCCAGTCCCGGGACCCCGAGCCCAGCTCTGCTGCTCGGGGCCGTTCCGAGCAAGCAGGCTGCCGAACCTGCGTCCCGCTTCTGGAAAACAAGGGGCAGCCACCGGGCCTGAGTCTGAGTGAGGACGTGCACAGGAAGCGCCCAGGACAGAGCCGGGCCCGTGGCAAGGGCACGACACCGGTCCATTTCCCACCTTCCCGTCCCGAGGGCCGGCAGCGACATCTTGGCACCAGCGCGTCCTCGTAACAGGGCCACGTCCGTCCGGCCTCCTTCACGTCCTCCGGCTGCTACGGTGAGGACTCTCTGGTCTCTACCTCGACCTGCTGCTCCGGCCCGGCTCTCTGGGCTGCTCCTGGAGTTCGCCTCCATCTGTTCCTCGACCTCCCCCGTGCCAAGGGCACACATGCCAGGTGTTCTCAGTGTGGCC